TATATATATATATATATATATATTTTTTTTTTTTCGGAATTTTCAGAAAAGTCCACTTTCATCTCTGGGATGTAAGAGAGGGGGTTGGCGGGCCAAAAAAGGTCGACGCGGATCTTTCGTCGGTCGAGATTAATTTTGTTGCTGTTGGTGCTCTACGAGCAGTGCGTGATCTGCGGAATGGGCATGTGGCACGGCACGGTGATCAGCTGGTTAGCACGTCCGCTTCACAGTGCGGGGATGCTGGGTTCGCTTCCGGCTTCGGCCTTCCTGTGTGGCGTTTGCATGTTTGTCCTGTGCCTGCATGGCTTTTCTCTGCATACCTGTCAACTTTTCGGAGCGCCAACCTGTATAAACTACCAAAAAAATCCTTATGAAGAGCAAAAAATCCTTGTAACATACCAAAGCATTTTATATGTCGAAATAACGGCAGAAAAAAAAACCACGAAATATGAATGATATATTTGTTTCCTTGTAGAACTTGCTTGTACACTACCGAAGTATGCAATGAATACTCTGCTGTTTTCAACTAGGAACCACGTGATTTACTGGAAAGTTACCGGAAATGAAAGCATTCGAGTAGACTAGCACCATTCTGGGCAAAAGCAAACAGAACTACCTGTTAGGGGGGAAAAAAAAAAAAAACGAAATTTTCAGAATCCGTATGATTTGTGCGATATGGCCACATACGTAAGATTCACCACAAAATCCGTATGAACTATGGCTAAACCGTATGAGTTGACAGGTATGTCTCTGGGTACTCCAGTTTCCTCCCACATTCCAAAAACATGTGTGGCAGGTTTATGGAACACTCTAAATTGTCGCTCGGTGTGATTATGAGTGTGAAAGGTTGTTCGTCTATGTGTGTCCTGTGATTTGCTGGCAACCAGTTCAGGGTGTACCTGCTTACTGCCCGAAGACAGCTGGGATAGGGTGCAGCACACCCGCGACCCTTGTGACAATAAGCTGATTAGAAAATGGATGGATCGATGGGGCATGTTTGGAAAATATTCATTTTGGGTTTTTTAATAAATTCTTTTCTTATAATTTACAGAAGCTTAATGCTGCCGCACCAAGGAAGCATGAAACAGATCATATAAATATGTGAAAATTATCATGTTAAAACAGGAAGATGATCATTTAAGCACGTGATACTTATCATGTGCAAATGTGAAAACTATCATGTAAAAATGTGAAAATTATCATGTATAAACATGAAAAGTACAAAATGTGACAAAGTTGGCCTCACGGAGGACTCCCCAATTTCTGTTGTGACCTTGGTCCCACCTTGCAGCAGGACGCAGAAGCAAGTGCTTCCGAGTGCAATGGCACTATACCTGGAATTGGTGAGCTTTTTTATGAAATTGTGGTGTACCAGAAGATTTCCTCAAACGCATGGAGCAAGAACTGGAAGGTGTATTTTTACATCGTCTTTTATTGACAAGTTTTTACTTGATAAGTATCATGTTTTTACACGTTAAGTTTCGTGGGGTTTTTTTTCCTGGTGTGGCAGCAACACGCTTCCCTCATAATAAAGATTGAAGAACATCTTTTAAAGTTTCAAATGTTTATTTTATTATTTGCCTGTTTATTTTTACTCCAAAAACAAACCGAAATAACAGAAATGCTCACAACTTTAAACGTAACATTGGGGGTTGATCGTGGTGTGTGCTATTTCCTTATTTCTTATTAACATTCGAATTCAAATGAATGCAGCATAACATTGGATTTGAATTAGTGACTGACCATTTAGAACTTGTGAGTTTTGTAGGTCATATCCTTGCTTAGTTGTACTATTGAGTAAAAGTAAGTAAAATAGTAAAAAGGAAAGAGAATCAATCATCATTCAACACACTTATTATGTTCAAGGGAGTAGGAAGAAGTCAAAAACTTATCTAGTCCTACTCCGTGTTATGTGTTTGTATATAAATAGATCATTTTTTATATCAATCAAAAAAGAAAGAAAGTAAGAAAAAAGAAATCTCCATTAAGGCTCATGCTTTACCCTTAACCAACTTTTGGTTTGTATCGGGATTTTATACATACACACCCTGGCACTCTTGTGTCAATTTTCTCTTGTATTCATAATGGATATTGCAGTACCTCTCTCTATTTATCAACTTAATTCTGGTTTATTATTATATTTAATTAATGTTTAGAATTTATCACCTTAACTCTGATTGATGTCGGTTGTTTGTACTATTTTTTTGAATTTGTTTTTGAACTCAGCAAGTGATTTACTCATTTTCAGGTCCGTTTCAAAATTATTCCACAGATTAACACCTTTGACAGATACACTTCTTTGCTTGATGTTTGTTCTTGTTTTGAGTTTTTTGAATAAGTTGGTACCTCTTATTCGTAGCAGCTTTCTCGAATTTCGAAAAACTTCAGAATATTTTGGCAGAGCAGGTTATTGTGTGCTTTGTACATTAATTGGGCGATTTTAAAGTCAACCAGGTCATAAAATTTCTCGTATTTAATTTGATAAATAGTGGATTTGTGGGTTCCGTGTATTTTGATCCATTAATAATTCGAATTGCTTTTATTTGTAGTTTTAGAATAGGGAGTGTGTTTGTTTTACAGGCATTTCCCCATATTTCCACACAGTAGGTCATATATGGTAATAATAATGAAGAGTATAATGTGTACAAAGATCTCTTATTTAGAACATCCTTGGTTTTGTAGAGGATCCCTATGGTTTTGGCTATTTTTCTTTTGACGTTATCGATATGTGGCTTCCAACATAGTTTTGAGTCTATTACTAATCCGAGAAACTTGGTTTCATACTATATTAGTTAAACCAATTTATTTTGTCAAATGTCATCATTAAACATCATTAGATGAATACCATTGTGAAATTGTTATCTGAATAAAGATGTATTGTATTGTATTGTATTGGGGGGGTTCTACTTAAGTGTTTTTAGAAAACACACAGGGCACAATGCTTCCTGGTATATATCCATCCATCCATTTTCTGAACCGCTTGATCCTCACTAAGGTTGTATATATATATATTTTACAATTAGTATTAGATTAAAAATGTTAACTTCCTCACCTACCCTCCATCCCTTACTTGTACTTTAATACTTTAATGCCATATCACATATTGCGTGTATGAATCGATATGTGCTTGTTTAATTCAATTGATTGAAATAGTGTGACAATATAATTTGGCTAATGCAGGACCACACATTCGCAGCCTATCATCCATAGACCACATTGCAAAATATGTGTCACCAGCCTGTCACTCAAAAGCTGGAGGCCTACCTCTTGTACATTTCCGCCGGACGGAAACTGACAAAACGAAAAGCGAAAAAAAGGAACATGCAACACAGACACAGTTACAGCACAGCCCATCCAGCCAAAGAGAGGAGAAACTTCTTCAACACATGTTTACAAGACACGGAGTTCTTCACTGATCTGACAGAGGTGCAATCTTCCCGGTCTCCATTTCTCAAAAGATTGAAGAAAGGAGACTGACGGTATTGTCCTTATATATCTGTATAAATGTGTGTGTGTGCAGGCCAGACATGGACATTGACTAATTAAAAGGCATGATGTGTTTGTATTGTTTTGCACGTCTTTTTGATTCTTTCAGGAAGGTTAAATGTTACAACCCCTTCGTATTTAATACTTACTTGAAAACAGATCAACAAAGATGCATTTTAATCTTCCGAAAGAAGGCTAGATATGCCATCAACTCATTGTATGTGAATCATGTCACCAGCAATATCTGTCATTTTGCAGCCTAAGTCTTTCGACAAAAACACACTTACAATCCACACATATATCTACATTTGACTTTATATGTTCCCATGCAGTAGATGACCTTTTTGGCATTGAATGAACGTTTCGTCTTTGGTGGCTTGAAAAAAGAAAAAAAAGCGGAAGTGTGTTTCCCTGGCGATTGAGGCAGAAGCAGGAAGTGTTTGTCATATTGAACAGGCTCATCCATCAAGTGTGTGTATCATGTGCCTCTGAGTCTCAAAAGTGGACTTAAACTTTGTTTGCTGAATCATTGCTGTTTTCGTAAAATGGAAAATGCAATATGCCATGCTTATACATGTATTGCATGCCATGTGATATAACCGAAAACAGGTCCCCTTCAATCCCCTTTCTGACACTCAGTATGGCAGCGTGGGACCTGTCCATCACTGTGGAGGACCTTGGGCCTGACGGTCCACCTGTCAGCCTCAGTGTGACCTCTGAGCTCCACGTGGGAGGCGTTATCCTCAAGCTGGTGGAGAAGACACGTGAGTGATCTGTCTCTTTGTCTTAGATGGATGCACACTGTAGATACACTGAATGTACACCTAGAATACAGTATAAAAACGCTTTTAGCTACTTTGAAGAAGTGTCTCACAATCTCTCCTTCGGCAACATCATATGCAGTATATACCAATCTATCTATCTATCTATCTATCTATCTATCTATCTATCTATCTATCTATCTATCTATCTATCTATCTATCTATCTATCTATCTCTCTCTCTCTAGAGAGAGAGAAAGAGAGAGCGAGAGAGAGAGAGAGAGAGATAGATAGATAGATAGATAGATAGATAGATAGATAGATAGATAGATAGATAGATAGATAGATGCACACAAAACCAGGCAGTGATCATCTACCTCATGCAACTGACACCCAAACCCACTCCAGACATCTTGCTTTCGCAACAAAGTGAGAGGAACAAGGTTTCTCTTATGCTCACACTAACACAAGACATTTCATTAGATTATAATTATTGTCGGTGCTATTCCGGTGCACCTTTGAGGCCAGCGTAACGACGAGTCTTGAACGCAAACAACACGACAATGGCTTCTTTGTATTTTCTGTTTATTAAAAAATAAAGTATACAAAAAAGGTTCTCTTCGGGTGTCTAATTGTCTGTATAGTTTGTTTGATTGTCTGTATAGTTTGGTCAAAAAACTGTATCGCTTCTAATCTTCAGCTGGCCTCATCTCTCTCTCTGTCTCTCTCCTTCTCCACACTGTCTTCATTCGCGTGAAGTCACAACAAATAGTTCTGTAAAAGAAATATTCTAACATGCATAAAATAATAGTGACGACTATTTCTACCAAATTATAAAATATGCCAATTGAACATATCAATACTAAACAGCAAATAGAATACACAAAATTCAACCAATGTCAAATTGGCACCTACAATTATCATAAAATATATCTTATTAGTGATTAGGCATATTTTTATAACACAACTTTATTAGTCAAATATTGACATTCGATATTACCACATACCTCATTCTTGAATGGCCATGCCCATGAGCAAGTTTTTAAAAAAATCAAATGTGTTCTTTGAGCCCAAACATTTTCCCCACCACTCCTCTAAATAAAACACCTTCATATTATTCAGTGTGCAATGAAATGACATCATAACTGTATTCAAAAATACTGTGTGTGTGTGTGTGTGTGTGTGTGTGTGTGTGTGTGTGTGTGTGTGTGTGTGTGTGTGTGTGGGTGTGGGTGTGTGGGTGTGTGTGTGTGTGTGTGTGTGTGTGTTTCTGGGCCCTGCAGAGATGCAACGTGACTGGTCGGACCATGCCCTGTGGTGGGAGCAGAAGCAGCAATGGCTGCTGCGTACCTCCTGGACTCTGGAGAAATACGGCATTCATGCCGATGCCCGTTTGCTCTTTATCCCTCAGCATAAACCCTTAAGACTGGGCCTGCCCAACGGCGTCACCCTGAGGCTTCGTGCCTGCTTCTCCAATCCCGTTTTCCAGACTGTGATGGGCGTCTGCACTCTGCTCAGTGAGTGTGTTATTTTCTTTTATAAATTTATCGGATGCTGCATCCCAATATAGAGTTAACAAATTTCCACAACATCGTGAAAGCTCCTGCTGTGAATAATAAATATCTTGTTTCTTATGCACCACTGAATCAATTTTGTATAGCAAGAGTAAGTGAAGTAAGTTTATTTTATATTCATATACACAGGATTAGTATCAGTGGAAACCTAATGAGGTATTGTGGGAGGCCAATGAGCACCTGATGTGCATCTCAGTGGAGTTACCTGTGTGATTTGTTCTTATTTGGTTGCAAGAGTTTTGCACCGAATTTGCAAAATGTTTGATAATGATTTTATTATCCATCCATCCATCCATTATCTGGACCGCTTTATGCTGATGAGGGTCGCGGACGTGCAGGAGCCTATCCCAGCTGTCTTCGGGCAGCAGGCGGGGTACACTCTGAGCTGGCTGCTAGCCCATCAAAAGGCACACAGAGACGAACGACCATCTGCGCTCACACTCACACTCACACCTTAATGACAATTTAGAGTGCTCCATTAACCCAGCATGCATGTTTTTGGAATGTGGGAGGAAACCAAAGAACCTGTAGAAAACCCACGCAGGCACGGGGAGAACATATATAATTCACACGGGAAGGCCGGAGCCAGAATCGAACCCTGTGCCTCCACCCTGTGAGGCCGGTGTGCTAACTAGTCATCCACCGTGCCGCCGATATTGTTATTATTATACATTATAGTTAATTATACTGTTGCGGATTAGCATGGATGAGGACGCTAATGCAGGTAACCAGTGAGGCAAGGCAGGTGTGCACACAGCAATTGATTTAAAGAAAACAAAATGGCAAACACATTAATTGACAACCTCATCGGGATAAGCGGTTTGAATAATGTATGGATGGAATTCAGCAGCTTGGTGATGAATTGCTGCTTCCACAAATGAAAATACAAATGATGCTTTTACGTAGTCTTATGAGGGTTCACTCCTCTCTTCAAAGTCTAGGCTGTTTCAGAATGTAAAGAACTCGCCTGGTTCCAGAGGCCGAGCTCTGCCCTCTGTCGTCTAATCATTTGCAATGTCCCTGAGGTGTCTTGAATATATAACCTCCTGATCTGGAGTCAGATGTGCTGCCATTGCGGCACAAAGTTTGTGATGATACCAACCGAAATGAATAAATGGATTGCAATCGGAGACACCGCTTGCATGACAAAACAGGTTAGAAGTTGCTCCCAACTTCCCTTGCGAGCTGATAAACAAACAAGCGAAAAATCTGTTGTGATTTTTCACAGCCAATTGACTTGAATGTTAAACAGCAATATATATGCATAGTGTTGAGTCTCAATTGACAATGATGTGACTTGAACACATAACCTTGGATTCTGAGTCACGCTGTCAGACGTTTGGCTAAATTTCCCCCAAGTATTTGTCTTGTGTTTATACATCTGATGGCTGTTATTTCACCGTACCATGGTCAGTTTGAGGTTAAAATGTCATGTTAGGACAGACCTAATTCCTTTTTTCCAATGACATCGCATCAATTATTACCAACATTTTCTTCTATTCATTTTCTGGTTGTCTGCACTGCTTCCATTTTATTTTATTTTTTATTCAATTAGATTTTGGTCTCTATGTGCTGCCATGTCAATCTAATTTACCCAAAGCCTACAGAATCAGTAGTGCTGGCCAATGTAACTTTAACTACATTTGCAATGACATTGTTTCTTTAACTAAGGAGCTCTCAATCTTTTTACACCAAGTGCCACCGGAAAGAAATACATAGTTATTCAAGTAACACCATCAATGGCCTGTATCCCCATTAGAACTGCCACAAATAAAATACAAAGTTGTGAGAAAACCACCCAAGAAATACTTACCGAAGTAACTTTTTTATGTTCATTGAACACAATGAATTATAAACACGGCCCTGATTTGACTTGACAGTCTTCTGAGCTGGAGTCAGACACTAACATCTTTAAAGCAGAAAATGGATAAAGGTATGAAATGAATTTTACAGTTTGGCACATTTGGCCTCCACAGATATCCGTCACCCAGAGGAGCTCTCACTGCTTCGGCCAGTAGAGGAGAAAAAAAAGAAGAAGGAGAAAAATTCGACAGAGGAGATTTTTGACCTGACTGCGGTGCCCCTCTCCTCAGGTAATCATCTTTGTTATAAATGTACTGCAACCAAATCCATCTGATTTTGGGTGGGAGGCAGGGTACACCCTCGACTCCTTGCCAAGCAATCACAAGGCACATATAAAAGTCAAGTCAAGTCAATTCAGCTTTTATTGTCAAATATGCTCTATGTGTAACATACAGCACAGATGAAATTACTTTCCTCTCTCAACCACAGTGCAAACATGTAAAAGCTATTTTGTTAGAGGAATCTATGAGCAAAATTGTATCATGTTTAAAGTTTCATTTAATTTGGGCACATCTAAACGTTTGGGTGCGTATCCAGCACCTCCAAATGCCTGTGCACAAAGGCGCCGGCCACCTGGCCGGAGGGCTGTTGAAGTCCACAATTAGCACGTCAATGCAGGTGTGCAATCACAGGGGAGGGGGCGAAACTCGGTCACAAAAGGGGAATGAATAATTTGGGAACAGCGGTTGAACAACAAAAGACGAGTTGAGAACACCCGTCGCGCCCAGGCGACATTTGTCGTCCGCAAAGTCTGCAACATGTTGATACAGTGTAGACCAGACAGAAAGGCGCCAATGTACCGTGGTTCAAAGCTTAAACTCAGGTAACCAATCACTACCGAGGGGCCGGACCGGGGGTGCGGTATGCAAATGTCGGGGGCAGTGTTTTCCTTGTATGTTACAATAAAAGTCGGAATTGGCGGGAAGGGAGCTCGAGAGTGTGATCATCGGAGCAACTACCGTCCTTCGCTCTCAGAGATCCCCTCCCGCCGATATTGAAGACAATTTTCCTGTGTGCCGAGTCATTTCTTTAACTTTGTCCGAGAAAATCTCTGACATATTTACACTGAAATTAACACCTATGCAGTAGCTCTTTCTGGCAATGTGCAATATGTGAATGCTAAACATAAACTTACATTACAAATGGCATGACAAATCACTGATTCCATTTGTATGGGGAATTTATGCCCTGTTGCGGGGTCACCCACTGTAGAAGACAAACTAATCCTTAACTTAAAAGAAAGCCAAAATAATTGCAACAAGGTTCCCTAAAATAATACAATGAAATAAAATATTCTTTACTGTGTAAACATAGCTTAAAAATGAACATTGTCAACCATGTTTTCAGAATCACTTTTTGCACTACTCTTGGTTTGCAGCATCCCGACCCAGTTTGTACAACGGCATGCCCATTCATTTTGCCGGCTCCCCTCAGTTGGAGGCTATTTACAAGATGTTGTCAAGCCCCCAGCCTCCTCCAGCCCCTGAAGTCCTAACCAAGCAGTACCGCCCAGCCAGCATTGTGGACAAGGCCCACATCAACGGCAGGTACCCTCACTGTACATTCATGTTTCTGTGTTGAACGGAATATGTCATAAAATTACCTGACTGCGGAGTAGGGCGCCCGCCTCCATTTGCTCATCCCTGCTATATCAAATTAATGGACGTGATCTTATGATGACATACAGTATTACGCTGTAACGTTTTCCCTCAGGTGGTTAGATTCGTCCCGCTGTCTCATGCAGCAGGGCATCCAAGAAAATGACAGACTGTGGCTTCGCTTCAAATATTTTGCCTTCTATGATATCGAACCCAAGGTGTGTCTGCATGTCTGTGTTGTTATCAAGTTTGTGTTGGTAGTGTTCTTTCCATCTCTCAGAATCCATGCTCAGGAGAGATACTTATATATTTTCAGTATGATGTGGTACGTCTGACCCAGCTGTATGAACAGGCTCGCTGGGCCATACTGTTGGAGGATATTGACTGCACAGAGGAGGAGATGATGCTGTTTGGAGCTTTACAGGTAGAGCCCAATGCTGCAGCCTGCAAGGTGTAAAAAAAAATTGTGAAAAGATGAATATTAATCTGCCCATTTGCAGAATCCATATCAGACGGTTTCAAGCAGATGTTACTGTGTGTGTGTGTGTGTGTGTGTGTGTGTGCGTGCGTGCGTGCGTGTGTGTGTGTGTGTGTGTGTGTGTGTGTGTGTGTGTGTGTGTGTGCGTGCGTGCGTGCGTGTGTGTGTGTGTGTGTGTGTGTGTGTGTGTGTGTGTGTGTGTGTGCGTGTGTGTGTGTGTGTGTGTGTGTGTGTGTGTGTGTGTGTGTGTGTGTGTGCGTGTGTGGATTTACAACCTGGTATGCATTTAAAATCTGCTGTTGCAGTATCACATCAGCAAGGTGTCACTGTCAGAGACTCAGACGATGAACTCGGCCTCAGCAATGGACGACCTTGAGTCGGCACTTCAATCCCTGGAGGTTAAGATGGAGGGCGAGAGCAGCTCTGCCTCCGAAATGCTGGTCAGACACGATGAATGCATAATGCTGTCTTTCATTCAATGTCATCAGCCTTCTGCGCAATTAAGAATTCAAATAACAACGCCAGGCAACTGAAACATTATGTTTTCTTTTTCTACAGGACAACATGACCGCACCAGAACTTCATGATTACTTGAAAATTTTCAGGTACTCGTTGATACTTGCTTACATGCTATTTGTACCTTGCAACTTAAACCCAATAAAATAATCACCCACTATTTGTGGGGGTAAGGAACAAGCCCAATAAGGAAAAAAAAACCAAAAGAAATTAAGAGCCAGTATGCAAAGCTTGTCTCTCAGTCGAGATTACTTCAGCATAGTTTCATGGGACCAGCTCCTATTTAGACCGGACATTGGGGCCATCTTGTGGCATTTTGGAGTGTTACAAAAAGAGCTTTAAAAACATGAACTTGTTGAATTATCCAATTGCAAACAGCACAGTTTTAGTATAGCGCAAGGGTGTCCGAGCTTTTTCTTGCAAGGGTCATATACCGAAAAATCAAAAGAAACAATGTGTCAAGATTTGAATGACAGACAAATTGACAGTTGAACAACATGCAGAATGCGGTTGGAATGGTAACTTCAGCTGGAGAACAACGCAGCAAGAATTTTGAAAAATGAATGATAGATTCTGCAAAAATAGATTTTCTAAACATTAATTAAATATAACAATTTTATATGTTGGAGAAAAATTGTCTTTTTGAGGAACATTTTTGTGCAATGTGGTCTATGGGAAATGCGGAAAACACTTTCGTTTCCTCTGCTACCTGGGGAACCCTTTCTCCAAATGTCTGAAAAGTATCAGTTCCGAATATCCACCAAGATAATAAGGGCCAAAATTAAATTAACATCTGCAAGTCGACACGTTTGAAAAGGCGTCATTTGCCCAAAAACTCAAATTGCTCAAATTGAACATGATTGGTGAGAAGGGTCATGTAGGGCCTACATGACTCTTCTCACCAATCATGTCCTATTCTACTGCCTACATTGTAGGCAGTAGAATAGGTCACGTACCATATTTTAGTCTGCAAATGTTTTGAGATGTTTTTGTTATGTAGAATTTTAGAGGCCTTTGAGTTGCATATTTTTAAAAAGAATACTTCAAAATGATGGTAGCCACTTGTTACCTTGATACTTAGACACCTTTAATTTATATAACACGGTAAAACAATGCACTGTTGTAAAATGCAAGCAAATGATACGGTTCATGTTTATTTTAGACTATGCCGTGGGCTGGTAAAAAATGAATAGCAGGCCGCAAATTGGATACTCCTGCTATGGAGCATATCTTTCTCAATAGATATCAAATTGTAATCCAGAAACTCATATACATTAATATTTTTTTCCCTTCTCAAGTCAAAACCAATGGACAGCACGATATTATTGATGTGTTTTAGGCCAAAGAGGTTGACTCTGAAGGGATACAAGCAGCACTGGTTCAAATTCCAGGACACCTCTATTTCCTATTTCAAGAGCAAAGAGGATAGCATCGGAGAGCCTATTCAACAGATTAACCTCAAAGGTACAGAGCTCTAGCATGAAAGAGAATTCTGACACAGAAAAGCATTTGAGTTTATGCCAAGCGGGACGTGAAACGTGCTGTGCATCCTGTAGTTAATTTGAATTAACATTGACGTTCCTTGAACCACATTGTTGGCATGGTACAGCACGAAATGAATGCGAATCAAGTTGTAGTGTCGACCATCATTTCACACATAGGCTGTGAAGTGGCACCAGATGTCAACATGGCAGCTCAGAAATTCCTCATCAGGCTGCTGATACCTGCTCCTGAGGGAATGAACGAAGTCTATCTCCGCTGTGAAAATGTGAGACCAAACACCAAATGTAGATACATTTTGTGTTCTCTCAAGGTTTGATCAGCCAGAATCATCTCTGTGTCTTTGGCCTGTAGGAGGAGCAGTACGCACGGTGGATGGCTGCATGTCGCCTGGCCTCCAAAGGCAAAAGCCTGGCAGACAGCAGCTTCCAGAGCGAGATACGCAGCATCCGCTCCTTCTTAGCCATGCAAAACACCAGCTCAAGTTCTCACGGCAACGCTGCCGCGACCGATGAAAGCATAAACACACTCAGTTTGGTGTCACCCCGCTACCATAAAAAGTACAAAACCAAACAGGTGGGGAAAGAGCAAAATGGTTTAAAACTTGATGTCAGAGCAGCCAATGTTATTATTCGTACCTGAACTGTGATGTTTTTCATCATTATGTGAATTTATGACAAACTATCAAAAAGGGCTTATATATATATATATATATATATATATATATATAGGTGTATAAATAGATAAGTACAGTACACATAAGTACTTGATGAGATGTAGATCTCTTCCTTTTCTTTTGCATTGAAAAATGATCTATTTATATTATTACACAACAAGGGGTAGGACTAGATAAGTTGTATACTTCTTCCTACTCCTTTGAGCATATAACGGTGATGATGTTTGTTTTATTTACTTTTTATTTTTATTTCTCCTTTTGTAATTTTGTTTGCCTTTTGTCAATTGTTGTTGTATTGTATGTTCAATAAACAATTAACTAACTAACTAACTAACTAAC